GCATACAGACAAACAGAGAAAGAGAAAGAGGGAAATACTTTTTATAGCTGTGATTCTACATTTTAAGTATAACTTATTACCAACAGAATGAAAGTAATCCAAATTTGGAGAAGTATTTAAAATAAGTGACAAGTGTGATAAGAAGATAGAACATTTTAACTGAATCCACCATATATTCAAGTATATAAACAGTCACATTAATAAAAGGCAATGACGTATGATGTTATATGCTAATGATTTTTCTTAATGTGAGTAGTTGGATACAACCACTTGAGTCAACCCACAAAAGACTGCTTGCCAGCCAGATTATTGAAGTGACCTAAACACCAGACGATTGACTGGTATGCGTAACTGAGTACAACTCATATCCACCAGTATTGCTCACTAGCCAGATCAAAGTCTTCTAAACACCAGCTGGTCGTTTCTCTCGGCCCTCTAACCTAAGTCAAACCACATGAATCTCTGATAAGCTTAACCCGAAACGAGCAAAATGTTCGTCTGGTGTTTATTATTATATTAATAATAATAATAATATAATAATAAACACCAGACGAACATTTTGCTCGTTTCGGGTTAAGCTTATCAGAGATTCATGTGGTTTGACTTAGGTTAGAGGGCCGAGAGAAACGACCAGCCGGTGTTTAGAAGACTTTGATCTGGCTAGTGAGCAATACTGGTAGATATGAGTAGTATTCAGTTACGCATACCAGTCAATCAGTAGTAGTAGTGTAACGGCAGAAGACGACAGACTTGGTAAAGGAATGTGTATATTTGGAATTTGGTATCGCTATATAGCGAAACTGTGTACCCCTTATCTTCAAATCACCATTTGCACAGATCTTCCATGTTGTACAACTGCTGGCCTTCATGGTATGCTTCTTTGTGTTTCTTTTACATCTCCCATTTTTTTCCACAACGCTGAGTCATTTGCTTTCTCTGACGTTAAACCTATTTCCCCACTATGGATAAGATTTTATTTTGATAAATCACAGTGTTATATACAGTAATATTAACTGATGACCACGTTTCGAGCACAAACTATTGCCACTCATAATCATATCAAGTCACTCACTCACACAGCTTTTTCCTTCATTTATATACATGTGTGGAATTGACTAGATATTTGAATAAAAATCAATATGCGATAATGTACATTCAGAAATAATAATATGAGTGTTATTGATCAGTTAGATCAATCAGATGGGAAATAAGACGAGTGTTTTTATAGTCATAATAAGTAACTTGTTAGAATGTTGTGATGTGCTTGAATTGAAATAGAATTTTGAGATTATTTATTATCCTCCTCTGATTTGACTTACTGGTGGTAATAATCTCTTCCATATTTCTGGTATTTGCATTGAGTCACTTCTGTTGCATGTGTTGGGTGTAGATTCGATGAACAAAGATTCAGTAATCAACCTCTCTCTCCACCTACCTAGATTACTTTTTAGAATTTTAACCCTCTCCCACCAGCCTATTGTGTGGTTTTGTGTTAATGCATGCAGTCCATAATGGAGTTACATTCTACCACAATGCCCAAGTTTATACTTATATTTCCCCACTATTTGATGTTTTTTACACTGACGAACGTCCCTTTTATACTACTGATAAATCTTATCAGTAGCATCCGCCACAATGGTACCATCATGCTCTGACGCTCACTTTTTTGATTTCTATAGTATGGTATCAAGCAGATTATACATTTTGTGACCTGAAAAACATCGGTTTCCACAGGAAACTGTGGTAAAATTTCACCTCGAAGTGTACGTGTGAATTGCAAATCGTGAATTCGTTTGGAAAGAAGCGATTTAGATTATTTGGTGATATAATTAGTAAAGTAGAGTAATCAAATAATGATGCAAAAGTTATTAGTAATTAAACGGATTAAGTATACAATCATTAGAAAGAGATTAAATTAGTCCCACATATTACAGGTCATTCACGTCAATTTGGAAAAGAGACTCCTTCGACATATTCTCATAAAATTACTTTTCACTATCATATTTACTAACCTATTTTAAATTTATTTAGGCGAGAAAAAGTACTTCTAACTTAGGTGGTATTCAACATGGGTTTCTCCCAGAAGATTATCTGTCTCCATTCTACAGAGAGTTGAAAAGACCTCAAGCAGAAGTTTAAAATTGTTATTATTACTGGTAGTAGTAATAGTAGTATCAACTGAACAACTAACACTCGTAAATCGTTTATTCTAGGCAACATTACCATTCCTTTTGTGCGTCGGTGGCAGCACATAAGTAGAATGCTCGCCAACCACGCATGTGATCCGGGGTTCGATCCCCAGCCAACGACGCACTCCTTTACCTCGCTAAGCCGGTAGTAGGGCCGGCAAAAAGGGAGGATTGGGAATGAGGCTAGCAACCCTATCCCGTAAAAATAAACACCACTGCTACCGAAACTTCAAAGCTCTAGCTTGAAGCCCCATGTTCCACTGGGAACGTAAAGGAATAAAGAAAAACATTACCAATCACTGATCTACTATAATTCCTTAAGAAGTTAGACAAAATGGCTGTTCCTATCACCTTCATCATTATCTGCATTCTTAATTATTGCTTTACTGGGTAGATAGCAGATTTTAGGTATTCTTTTACAACTTGTTAATAGTTGCCTTGAACTGTGTAAATTGCAGATCATGAATTTGATTCAATGTATTATCGGTTCGCCAAAGTAGCTAGCCGGAATTCGAACAGTCTGAACTGATTCACCTTTCTGAGAAGTATTGAACCGAGTACACTGTTGATAAGCTCGGTCATAAACGACTGAAACAGATGTCCGATGATCAGATCATTTTGATATGCATAGCAAATACTATTCGTCGAGGTGAATAGTATCCAACTACTGATATCAGTCGGTTAGTAGTATAAAGCGTCATCCAATTATGCCAGACTACCTTAACTTCCTTATGTAAAAGGTTTAACAAAAAATATTTTTCTAGAAATCGATAGGATGTCCGACGACCAGGAAAGATCAGAAGAAAGACATTCAGGATATGTAACACTCGAGTTAGTTTAATTCTTCACTTAGGAACCTAAAAATGTATTCTGCTGTTTCCGCACATTGTTTGTACTCCCATTCGTTATGGAGCTTCGATCGAGATTGGTTGCTGACCCTTTAAACTTATCATCGATTTTAATGATGTCAAGGTAATGTAAATACTATATATATATATATATATATATATATATATATATTCAACTTCGCTCCCAAATGGTTTTGAGCTATTATTTGAGACAGTAAAAGCAATAGCTCTCACAATCGCTTCGTCTTCTATCTTATTTCGTCTGCGGGGACATTGTTGTTGTTGTGGTGGTGGTGGTTGACGTTGTAATTGCAAAAACAGTCTGCTAGGTCGTACTACTGGTCGTAACACTGGGCTTACTAGCGGCTAAGTGAGGTATAGGAGTGCTTCAACGGGGAATCGAACTCAGACTACGTGTATGTGTGTGTGTGCGTGTGGTTCGCGAGCATTGTAACACTAAACCACCCACACATATGGTTTAACTAATCAACTTTTATTATTATTCACATTATTATTATTATTAACACTGTTACTATTTTTACTATGACCTTTACAAATGAGTAATAAAACCTAATCATCAGGACATCAAGTGATACATAAACTGATACATTTAATGTAACGAGTTTTTTTCTCTCTCTCTCACTCTTTCTTCACAATAACAAAAAACGAATACAGCAATGTTTTAAACAAATCAAAAACAATGATCAGTGATCAGTTATTAATGAAGAGTAATTAGAGTCAAGTTACATGGAGTGGATTTTTCTTAAATGTAAGCGGTCATGTGTATAGGCTGAAGATACTGTAAGGTACCGGTTGTGTTGTTGATACATTACAGTATTCCAGCCGTATTAAACTCAATGTGGTCAATTATTCACTTAATCAGCATACTAGTTGACCTGCAAGTACTGACAACACACCACAAATCAAGAAGACTCAGTTATTTGGCGATGTGCTCCGATGAGCAGTATATTTATAAATAGAATACAGTATAAAAGGATTGTTTGAGAAAAAGATTTTAGAACTAATCAAGCCACGACAGCTAAACTGAAGACTTCGTCAGTTAATTGTCAGAGAATTGATTTGTTTCAGTTTTTACCATGGATTGATGTCAGTTAGAGAATCATTGGAAAACTAGGGAGCACTTCATAGCTGTTTTGCCTTAGTTTGACCTCTTCGTGAGCACGCACCCACCGGGGTTCGAAGGTTATTTGAGTCCTAGTGAAAAGTCGTGACCAGCTGGGTACGCCGCATCCGGAGTGGGTAGCAATAGTCACCAATGACAGTGAATAGCGACGGCGCTAAAAATAGCGAATAAATAGGAGTTACAACTGATGGGCTATTAGATTTCATCCCAGTGGCTGGATGACCAACAAGCTCACCTCATAACCCGAAGTGTTTGACCCCAAGTGGCATCATGGTGCGTATCGATGAAGAGTCTCAAACCAGGACGAAACCAATGCCCAGTACTCTCTGGTCTCCCAGTGGTTCTGTAACCGACATCAATCTGTGATCAGACCTGAAATAAATCAAATCCCTACAAACCAATCCATGAAATTTAATTCAATTTTAGATTTTCCCATCGATTGATTGGACTGAAATGCTTGGTCTCAGGTTGACATGTCGGCTTCTTGTGCAAATGCTTCGATGATGTCTGGGCATGTAAAAGTTAAAACATCTAAAGCATACACAGTCTGGTTAGACGTTTATTTATTTAAAAGTTAGGTTGATTTGTTTTGATCTATCTGCCTTGTCCCCAGATTTATTTTGATTCTGTACAAGGTACACTACAATACTACCACACAGCTGTCTACGTTGAAGTAGGTAGTACAAGGGATTCAAACCAAGAAACCACTGAATGCTGTAGTATACTCAAGCCAATGAGTGCATCACAGTTCCACCGTGTATAAAACAACTCATACAACAATAAATTAAAAAGAGGAGGGTTCAAATTATATAGACTTACTTAATTCAGCTAATACAACACCAGATGCAGGTGGTGCTGGCCAATCATAACGTTCAATTGGTGCTGGCAAACTTTTATCTCTTTCTTGTCCAGCTGGTAAACAAGCCAATTTACGTGTTTCTAATGTTATATCATGATCATTTAATGAGATGGGACCAGAACAGCTTATATCGTCTATGTGTGAATTTCGTGTATTACCAGCTCCTGTTGTTGTTGTTGCTGCTGCTGGTGCTTTCATTTGTCCATTAACCGTTGTACTAGATAAAATCCTTGTCTTTTTCGATTGTGGTGTAACCATTGTTCCTGTGGTGGTTGATTTATCACTTTGTGTTTTATGATTATTATCACTTAAATTAATAGCAGAAGAAGCGATTGGCTTATTTAATGATCGTGATGTAATAATTACACTGTTATTATTAGCATTATTATTAGCATTGAGATTATTTGAACGTGGTGTACTTGTTATATTGTAGGATGGTAGGACACCACTCATAGAACGACCAAATAATGTTGTATGCAATTTTGTACCAGGTGGTAGATAACGACTTTTACCACCTAGAAAAATAAGAAATAAACAGAATATATGTAGGTGCATATATATATATATGTATATATATTCAGCTATCCAATAATGGGGATAATTGCAGGTACAATTGTAATTTAGATGGAGTATATTTGTAGGAGGATTTAGATTTATTTCGATGTCGATTTCGTTACAAACCAACATCGCTGAGTTAGAGAATGGTAGAAGTGTCATCATCGTACTTTTTGTACAGAGAGAAGTTGTCGATTGTCGGTTTCAGTGAACTATTTTCCAAACTTGCCTTGAAAATATCTGCAAGTAACGGGTCTAAAGGTGAACTCATAGCCACACCATCTTGCTGTCTGTAAACAGTACCATTGCATCTGAGCTGAACATTCAAAGTGCAGCTAAGTAGACGTTGTTTTAACTTGAGAGTAGGTATTTCGATATTCAAGTCGTGATCTTCCAAGTACTTGCATAAGTAATTGTAATTGTTGAAACCGACAGCTGACAACTTCTCTCTGTACAAAAGAGTTAGAGAATCACTAAAACACAGAGTGGACACTGCACATCTGCTTAGTCCTAGTTTGGGAGAGACTAATCAACAGTGCACACCCACAACCCTATACCCAGAGATCGAATCCGGAACCTTCAGGTTCACCCAAGGTGAAGGTGAAGTGGACGCTCACTGTTTGCAGATAAGGCTGTATCATAAATCAACATAAGTCAGAATTCACGGGTAACTGAAATCTAGTCCAAGTAGCTAGATGGTCAATGAGGTTGGCCTAATAACCTAGAGATTGTGGGTTCTTTCTTTGATGGTGAGGTCCTCGGTGTACACTTCTGAAGAACCTCAAAGTAGGAAAAAGGCAGCTGTCCAGTGCTTTCTGGTTTTCTATGATCTACAACTGGTGTTAGTTTGTGACAAAATCTGTATTGAAACCAAGAGCTATCAATATTTTTTCTCTTTTATTTTTCCATTTTAGCATATTTTGATGTGATATTTATCAAAATAATTTTTCTTAACTAACGTTTAGTTCACTCTGTTTACTTGTTACACAATATGTCTATTTTGATACTTTTATCTATGCTGTTTCGACTGACACCCATTTTTTTTAAAAAAACAACATTTTTTCCGTATTACGTAACCTTCAGTCTACAGTTGTTATTATATGATTAATCTTCACTTTTCCTGAAATATTTTGATGACGTAAACAAACTATCTTATTTTTATTTTTTTCATTATGGATACATTTGACAGATTCAGTATAAAGATATATGGAAAAAATACCAATGTATAATTACGATTCTAAAGCTGAGTGAATGAATTCTCTGAAAAGAGTCTCTTCACCGAACTGCTAGTGTTTATTTCCATGGCTAGATAGGGGCCAAGTTAAACTTTAAGCGCCAGTAACTACCAATCAGCGAACGACGTCGAATTATCCAATGAGATTCACGAACGTAGTTCAATGTTGTATAGCGCTTGAGTCATTTCCAATGCGGGCCCTTAAAAGGTTACGTTTGCAATTCGAGGAGGATAGTGTCTTTCAGTATTGCCTGGACTTAGGCTTGCTTCGAAAGGAGAGAAGTTGTTCGTGTAGTGGTGTATTGACTCTAAAAAGCTATACCAGGTCAACTGATGGATTTGTCCATCGTTGTGGTACCAGCACTGCAGAGATATTGCTTTTTGGAAAATGGAGAATATCACTTCGGTGTTGGGTGGAGAAGACGTAGTAGTGCATGTGGATGAGACTGTGTTGGTGAGGAAGAAATACAACCGTGGTCGTCAGAGAGCGAACAACATTTGGGTCATAGGTTTATACGACACTTCCCTCCGAAAAGGATTTGTTGAAAGAATAGCAGACAGGAAGGTGACTACTCGATTGAAAAATAGGATACGGGCTATAAATGGATCTCAAAAGGATCTCATTTATAGTCATTTGGACGAATATATGTATAGAATGTGGTGTGACTTTACCATTGAGAGTCCCATGCTTAACTGGGAGAGATTTCTCTCACATGTTAGGGAAAGATACCCCCTGTAACCGTTTAATGCTTTTTTTATGCTTTTTTCTATAAATATACGTTTCCATTTATCATAAATGCCTCTTTAAAGTGATTGGTCCGTTCAAGGTCGTTTGCTGATTGGTTGTTACTGGTGTCGAAAGCTTAACTTTGCCTAGATAGGTAATATCTGTCACGTAGGATTACACGATACTGTTCAAATTCTGCCAATTTTTCTGATGAACAGACAACAGCCTATTTACCGCTGCACTGTATTGAATATACATCAAGGTTTGAAGATGATCGACAGCAAGTAGCGAACGTAAGTTTTATACTGACTGACATTCGTCAGCAAGGCCGACATACAACATTGAAAAAGCTGACGATCTCTCTGAAATGAATTCTTGTAACACTGTAACAGGTATATTGGTTCTTTACTGGGGAAGGAACGATTTTTATGCTGTCCAGTTCCTAATATTACCACCAATGGAATTCTATCAGTCTATGGATTCCTGCAGAATGATCCTCTAACCACAAAATATCATTTCAAAGCATACTATGATGACGACTGTACTGGTTTGCTCACCATTATGGTGAACTTCACCGATAGAATTCAGATTAATGAATGACGAATAAAAATTCATTCGCAAGTACTAGATTTGTAGGGATTGTGTTTGATTTGTTGAAGGGTTGCATCAGTTAGAGAACCATTGGAAAACCTGTGAGTACTAAACAGCTGTTTCGTCCCAGAATTCATGAGCCATTGGATCGGGTCCCAGTGGCTTAATGGTATACGAGTTCGCCTTGTAACCAGAAGTTCCTGGGTTTAAACCCCTGTGGGTGTGTACTGCTGAACAGTCCCAAACTAGGACGAAACAGCTGTCCACTACTCCTGTCTGGTTTTCCAATGGTTCTCTAATGTCAGCTCATGGTGAAACCTTCCAGCCAAAAATTTATTCATCGCTTAAGTCTGTAGAAAATGACAATCAATTTAAGACAGTAGACAAAACAATTGATCAAGGGTATAGAATATTTGAATTACTTAGAAGATAGACAGACTAACATAAGAGATTGGTACACAGAAAAGGACTAGAATTTCTCCATATCATTTATTTATCAAACTACACAAAACCATGTATATCACTTCTAAATGAATGATCAATCTTTGAAACTTAGTAGGTAAGTCTAGTGGGAAAGCCTCAAGATAGAGATTATGTAACACTGAGACACCTTTCTTTCACAAGTGAGAATCTCTTGATTAAAACAGATCGATATTATGCTTCCTACTGAAGGGACTACATCTGTGGTTCCATGGTAGACTGCTTACCAATCACCCACGTGGTCCTATTTCTCTTCTTCGGCCGATGCACTCTTAAACACCACCCACGCAGTGGTAAGTCCCATTGAAATAGGGAAGGCTGTGTATGAGGCTAGCAATCTGACCTAGAAAAAATGCACAACCGTTACTGAAACTTCAAAGTTCAGGCCCTATGATCCACTCGGAACCCAAAGGAATGAAATAAAGTAGTGAAGGCAGCTAGGTGAAAAAAGAAACTATTAATTAGATCTAATAGCACAGGTAGAAAATACCAACAGCAAATTATTCGACAAGTCCCCCATTTATCGGATGAACAAAACAATAGCTTAAGTTCAATGACATTTAAAAAACAAAACCTGTTCCACACGAGTAATGATTTCTATAAGCCACAGAGAGAGGTAATTCAACAAGCTATAGAGAACTTCAAATATGATTCACAATATCAAAGAAAACCAAAATGCCCGCATCTCATATATATATATATATATATATGAGCTATACTCATCGGCTCACATAAATATTTGTCAACTTAAAAGGTTTTAAGCAAATTTCAAATAAACAAAAACGGTATTGTCATCATTTAAAAATAAAAACAGAAAAACAACCCGAAAAGGTAGATTTTGACCAAAATGTAATACACATCTCAGCTTCTGTTATACAGTAGTCAATAATTTCATCTGATAATTAAAAGCTAACATTGATTAGTAACTACACAGGAGGAACCTGTGTCTTTATGCCTTTAATTCTAAGTATTACTGTCGGCTGAGAATTCTACCAGTCAGTTATTGCAAATGTTGCCAACAAGCTAGGAAAATGGCTATCACACTGACGTTTACAAATGATGCCTAGTGCCTGAATGATCATTCCGTAGAAAGCTTTTACCTGATAAAATTGAATCATGGGCAACAGTAACGACTAGACACATCCATTTTAAGTGTCACTTCACAGGGATTCAATTGGCTCCAAGATTAATCACTAGCTGACTTTAGTAAAAGTAGCATTGAAAACCATGGGGCAGTGGACAGCAGCTTTGTCCTCATATTGGACTCTTCACAGTCATGTGACCATGACCTCACTACGAGGGATGGAGCTCAGGATGTGCAGGCTGACCATTCAGTTTCAAGAGGACTGAAGTCACTTCGTGATCAAACTTGACATTCGTTCATTTTTCTATTATAGTTTTAATGAAGGTTAGAGTCATAAATCTCAATAAATCAACGATTATGTCTTTAGTTTTAGCACAGAATGACGTGGATTCAGATCTCCAAGGGAACATCATTTCCTTCAGCGTTTCAGATACACCTTGCTGATGAGTCAAAGTAGGCACGACTGGGACTGCCTGTCTGCTATCTCCAACTGACTAATATCAACTGAATTAAAAATCCAAGTAACTGAGGTAGAGTCAATTGCTCAATGCCTAAGTCAACGAACCATACACAGTTATAACTTCAATCTTGGCAAGAAAACGACAAGGGTAAAACAGTGTAAGACTGACACCATTATTATTATTGTTTCCTTTAATTCCTAGAGGAACACGGGGCTTCAGCGGTGCGTCTCCATTGCGTTCGGTTCTCTGCTAGAGTCTTTACCTGGCTCCAAGTCTATCCACACGTTTTCATCTCCTCTTCACATGACCTCCTCCAAGTCACCCTTGCACTGATGACCAACTCACCGCTTCCCTTTCGGTTTCCACTCAAGGGCTTGTCTAGTGATGTCACTTGATGGTTTCCTCAGAGTATGACCAGCCAATCCATCTCCATTTCTTCCTGCCTATTTGTTTCACAATCGGTTCCTGGTTGGTTCGCTCATTGCCAGAGATCTCTATTGCTGATGTTTTCTGGCCATCTGATCTTGAGTATTGAGCGAAGACAACTGTTAATGAAGGTTTGTAGTCTCTGATCCATCCGTATAGTAGCACTGACTTCACATTGGAGTTGAAAATCCGGATCTTATTTTTGATGGTGAGTGCTGTTGACCTCCACACATACTTGAGAGTAATGAAGGCTTGCCTTGCTTTCCCGATCCTTGCTTTGATATCCCCATCAGTTCCGTCTGTAGTTGAAACGATGCTTCCCAGGTAGGTGAAGGAGGTTGTTTCTTTCAGGTTCCTTCCATTTATGCTGATTGTTGTCTGCTGTTGTGGTTGTTGCTGATGGTGTTGCTGTTGCCCAGGAATCTTCATCACCTCCGTTTTCTCTATGTTCACCTGCAGTCCTATCTTTGATGCTTCTTCTATCGCCAACTTGTTGCTTTTCGCTTGCATATCTTCCAGTTTGTGGGAAATCAGACATATATCATCGGCGAAGTCCAGATCCTCCAAGTTTTTCGTGTGAGTCCATTTTATGCCTGTTTCCTCATTGCCCGCTGTTTGTCGCATTATCCAATCTACTGCAATCAGACTGACACCATACTGAAAGAAAACACCAACCTAAAAATACGTTAATCTAATTTCTAGAATATATACACGCAACTTTAATGATTGTCAATTTACAAAATACAACAAAAAAACAAACAAAACAAAACAGTTTACTGATGATAGTATTAATCTGTTTTCTAGGAAATAGTACATACACTAACGAAGAAATTTGATAAACTGTACAACAAAATCGAAGGACAGAACACTGTTAAAATAGGCAAAACAAAAACGACGGTAATCGACAAAAAAAGCAGTAAGGCCGTATTGGTAATAAAACAACAACAACAAAAACAACACACATATGGTATTTAATCTGCGAATAAAAATCACCCGGTAAACAACATAAAAGCAATAATAATCATAATAATAACAACAACAACAAGGACAAGGTAAAATTCCTAAAATAAGTCGATTTGCCAATTTAATTTACCACCTTTTTAGGAGAGTTGATATTTGCCTAAACACAATATTTTTATTCCCTCATTTTTGGCCTTAAAAAAGGAAGAATTTAGCGTATTTTTTTACAAAGGATTATATTATATTGATCAAAGAGAGTTAAGGTAAGAATTATTCTGGTATATACAAACAACATTATGGTCAACAACTAAACTCTTCTGGACATCTCAATTAGAGAATTACTTAAAAGTAAGGAAGATAGAGAGACAGGGAGAGAGAGAGATAGAGTGCAGTGAACAGCTGTTTCGTCCAAATTCAAGACTCTTCCAGAGCCCTTGGGCAGGAGCTATATATCTGGTCGTTTAAGAGCCAAGTAGGTTGGTTGCTAGATTTCAAATAAAAGTCAAGTTTTTGTGTTTCAAAGAAATTTCTACAGAAAGCGCCTTCTTGAATCTCTGTGGCATGATTATACCCACTGTTTTTATACTGAAGATAGAAAAAGTTGAATTGAGTAACATTTCTTTTTTACAAGGTTTTACGTCAGTCAGGTTTTCCATCTATCATCCTATGACAATGGCCATATAATTTTTACAGGACTTCAGGTGAACATAGAGAAGACAGAGGTGATGAAGATACCTAACAAACAGTAACAGCAGGCATCATTCGCTATCAACAGGAGAAATCTTAAGGAAATCATCCTCCTTTAATTTATTTAGACAGCATCGTTTCAACTACAGGAGGCGAAAATGAGAATGTTCAAGAGGCATGTTTAGCAATTTGAAATCAGGAATGAGATTCGTATTTTCAATACTAATGTGTCAAGTCTGTGATTCTACAAGCTTCAGAGACCTGGTGGTAAGTGCGTCAACACAAGTACTCACAATAGGCTATTGCATATTGTTATCAACAGCTGACTTTATTGGCTTGACACTTAAGACAGATCGTCGGACTAGAAAGGATAAGGAACTCTGGCAACTAACCCACTCACAGCAGATTACCCAACAAATATGCAGAAAGAAATGGAGATGGATTGCACGCACGCTGATGAGGAGACCGTTGAGTGATAATATCACACAGCAGACCTTCACAAGTGAAACCTGAATAAGAAAAGATGAGTTGGGCATGGACCCGAAGGCGACATGCAAGGGACCATGTGGAGAGGAAATGAAAGTAGGCAGTCTGAAGTCAGCTAAGAGAGATTGAAGAGAAAAGAGTAAGATGGAGATACCCTTAATATGAATTTAAAAAGTACACCGCGATGAAGAGTCTTCGAGACTGAAGACTTTATTTCCAACTTCCTGAGGAGTAGACGGATGATATTTGTTTATTCGCCAGTGAGCAATCGATATACATATCTATTACTGCTAATCACCTTTATTATAAACTAATCGTATTAGCTGATTGTAATAGATTATTGGGATTTTTAAAAAAATCTCTGTATCTTGAAATAAAATCCACTAATATAATACAGATTGACAGATTAGACGAGAAGATAGACTCTCAATATACAACAGTTAATCACTCTGCCTAAAATAAATTAGTTGAATGGCATTATGAAGTTAGAACCAACTCCTTGTAAGTTGAATGGGTAAATGTTAATAGACTGGTGACAATGTATACACTGAGAAAATTAGTTCCCGTTTGAAAAAGAAAGTAAAGACGTATTTCCATTGACTCAACTTTTCGAATTGTAAGGGATTCGATGACGACTACCCTAAGACGTTATTATAAGATTGTTAAAAAAAGCGCTATACCAGAAATCAACAAAGCTTTGAATAAAAACAAATTACAATGAATTATATAACTAACTAACCTTCAGGTAAATGAAATTGTCTTGGTTGTGAATAATTATTTAGCGCTGTAGATGAAATATTACGTTTATATCTATCATTATTAGGTACAGGAACTTGATTAGTTAAATGTATATATGATTGATTTAAATATCGACCATAATTAGAGGTAGGAATTCGTCCACATGAACTCTGTGTGAAGAGAGAAAGAGAGTCAATGAGTAATATAAGAATACAGTGGTGTGATGAGAATAATTAATTCATAACTTACTAATGAAAAGATTCACTTCAGGATATTTCAGTAATGCTCAAGTAGAATAACATCCGAAAGACATTTACATCACAAGTCGATAGTTTCTTGGTTCATTAGGGGAGAGGGTAACCGAGTAGTTGCACCACAGGATGATACTGAGTGCAGTTCGGATGTTGCAGGAGTCTGGTTCTCCTAAAAGCTAATGTCTAGTCACCAAGTTAATGGGTGTATCATTAGTCTGAGCGCTCAGTTTCCAACCAGTGGGTTACGGGTTGGAACCCTACTGCACCTATCAAGGTTTGGCCAGCCAGGTAACATCACTAGCTGCCATACACAAAAGGTGTGGCTCATTGCCAACTGCATGAAATTGCAGTTGAATTAGAAACGCTGAAGACATATTTACTTTTGTCAGTGTTACCACCACAACTTCTTCTGACAACGAGCTGAAGAGAGTTAGGCTTTACGCAGATAGTATATGATCATTCAATCCGTTGTCGTAATATTCTATCCTTCGACTTACGAGACGCAAATGTAATGCAGGTGGCTGGCGTGCAGCTATCTGTTCAATATTATCACTGAAGTTGACCAGACATGTCATTCCCTACAAACTGGGATTGATTATCGACTGTTTGTTTGTGTGTTTATGTCAAGTGGATAGTTAGAAAACACTCATTTGCACAACAGTGGTTGCAGTAAAATGAAAAACCTGATAAGCAGTTGGGTGCTGTAGACCAGAGAGAAATCACACATGATATAAGTGTGTATAATGAGGAAGAATAAATAATGTCGTGTATCTTTTCTTTAAAACTTGATTGAACTTCAGCCTTCGATGACCTTCTTCAACGGCGTCTATGTATCAGTTCTACACAAACTGGCACTTTCATCTATGACTAAGGTAGTAATACTTGATGACAGAATCATTTACCTGGTAAAAATAATATACAGTGATGACAAAATACAGAAACCCTACACTGAATTTTCTATTTGCACACTTTCTTCGTATCGTGTCTTTTTTTCACTTCTTTTAATGCCTGCTACATCGTTTCAAAAGAATCTCTTACTTCTTCTCTTTGCAACTTAATCTTTCGCTCCACCAGGCGAAATTCCTGTGGGAGATATCACGCACAACATACTACTACTTATAGATTCTTGTCAGTAGCACATGCCACGGTATCACATTACATTGGATTTACGGAAACTGTAAACAATAGACACCACAATCAAACGACCTTGAATCAACCAATCAGATCGCAACGAAGATTACGAAGAGCACCGATTTGCAGTGCCGAGTGATCTGATTGGTTGCAGAATTTACCTCGACTAATAAAGAGTGAAAATGCAAATTAAGAAACAAGACACGCGCCTCCTCTCATCCCAGTTGTTTTCTTTCAACTCAAAATTTTTTTCTTTCTGTTGAATTAAAGTTGTTCAACTTAGTTAACAGCATAATTTGTATGAAGTCATATTTATGTCAACAACAACAGCAAAACAACAAAAGAAAGAAAAATAACGAAATAATAATAGTAGTAGTAATCATAATCTGAAAACATACTTGTCTAGACAAATGAAAGGATAGAGTGTTCAACTTCTCTTTGTTGGCATCAATTTTCTCCTGATCAGAATAACCATTAGAAAAATGCCTTGATTTCGATTCATCTAAATTGTTTGACTGGAAAAAAGAAGAAAATCTTACAATGAACCGAAATACATTGAAAAACAAAATAGTACTTAAGTAAGATAAAAAACGATCGGTTTTTAATTTCAGTGTAGATTTCATCATGAGCCAACACAACAGCCAGTTTGAGAATCATTGAAAACAAAACGGGCTGCCTACTAGACAGCTGTTTCGTCCTAGTTTCAGCTGACTCTTCATCTGAATCTGATCAACGGAGCTTGGCCTGATAACATGAAGGTCTCAAGTTTGATTCATGAGGTGGGGTGGGGTGGGGGATAATCGTAAATGTGAATTGTTCAAGAGTCACTCCCGAACTAGCTCAAAACAGCTGTCTGGTATGCTACCTATTGGTTTTCAATGATTCTCTAACTGGTATGTTGGTTCGAATTAGTCCATAATCTAAATATTAGTATTTTAATTAAGAGATTAAAATAATAATAACGATCATAATCCATGGTAATGGTGTAGGTCATTCATGATGCACCACTCATTGTCTGGATAATTATTATACGCTTGTTTTCAGGAGAACTGGACACACTCATCCTGGCCTTGTTCACGACCAGAAAGGCATACGGCATCTTCCTGTGACAGCTATGAATGTAATTCAGCTGTATAAAGGCTTAATAGTAAATTTCATTTGTGGAAAAAAGGCATCTCCTCATTTATCTGAGTATCAATAAAGTGGTTTCTGTCAAATACTGTCACTATATACAATATAATAGAATTTATTTTAGCATTCCAGGTGTGTTTATGTTAATCGTGAGGATATCGCTCATTGGCTTAAGTTCTACACGTCTTAGGTTCAATTCCACCCTGTTAACTTCAGTCTGAGTAACTGGATGATTTCGTTAGCTGTTACACAATATTGTGTCCATAGTTCAATAGTAGGATGCCCGCCAACTGCATATGTGATTCGTCTTTGATTAACGATCAACGTTCTTCGCTTAACCTTGCTTAATCGGTAGTAATCCTGGAAAACAGGAGAGGTTGACCGTGAGACTATCAACTTCATCCCGTAACACAAAACAGCACCACCACCACTAAAAACTTCAAGGCAAAAGCCTGAAGCCTTATATTCTAACCAGAAGGCAAAGGAATGAAATAACAGTCTGGTATATGGAAAACCTATTTCAGGTAAGTGAGTTCAAGCAACATCAAAAAACAATGGAAACTCATGAAACGAATACATTGAAAGAGAATTCTATTGTTTAGATGAATCATCAGTAAAACAAAAGCCTTCATCATGCTGTTATATGAAGATATGTTGAATGGTCTAGAAAAAAGGAGCCCAATCATTGCTATACAAGCACTTTAATGTTAACAAACAACAGAGTGAGATATGGTAAGAGTATTGAAAAGTACTGTAGGTAGGTAGGTAGAAAGATAGAAGGGCTAGTTACTGAATCCTCGTTCATTGAATCATAACACGTAGGTGGAATCCAGATATATACAGAATTGAATCAAAAAACAGGAGAATGTTGACGCACTGTTATGATTGAAATGTTATCCAGTTATTCATAATTTATCACTATGTGTTATCTCAAATAAACTTACCTAATATGGATTTATATTCTATTAAAGTGCTTAAATTTTACTATTTTTTCGTCCCTTGCTTCTCGAGTGCATTATAGAGCTTGAGGTCCCAGGGCTTGAAATTCCACTAACCTTGGTATTCTTAGTCTTTACTAGATGAGGTCGCTAGCCTTATGCCAAACCTTCCTTCTTTACTGAACTTACTACCGACTAGATAAGATTTATGAGTTTGACTGCTGGGAATCGAAATCCAGACCAACTGTCTGGTTGGCGGGTATTCTAACGATGAACCACCGACGCGCAAATTTTACTGGTATATTGAAGATATGGGTCATTTAGTGAAGAGCTGTTTTGCTTTGAGTTACTCAAAAGATTTTTACATTTATAGACGTCGGTGTTCAGCTGAGTGCCTCTTACAAAATATTTAACCGTTAACTCTAAACGAGTGAAGTCAAAACGACATAAGTAACCACATTTTATATTCCATTAAATAACTTCATAAAGTGATCTATATAAAACCATGAAAAACTGGAAAATCGACATCAATATAAATCACTTACATCACACAAACGTTCTCCTAACCCTGAATCTGTGCCTAAAATTTAAAATTAGTATTGTAAGCAAAGATGATTTACTCATATATCCCCTTTCCTTGGAGGCGCGAAGACCATTTTTCTCTACAACAGCAGGTTTTCGCAAAATAGATCTTGATTTTTGAGGAAGTCCAGCTGAGGAGATGCAAGAATAATTATTCTGTGATTGTTTTGATTCAGAGGCTTGTTCGTGAATGTATTGTGGAGATGCCATATCACTAGCACTGACACATCCTTCATCATCTGTGACAGATAAAGGCGACTGGAAACTGCTCTTTTTAAGATCACTACCAATACTTGAAGAAAAGCAAACTTCATCAATACAACGTGGACAGTAAAATTTCTCCTGCCAGACAGTAACGCGATCACCAGGACAAAATGCCACACTGTGATTAAAAAAAGTAATAAGTGAACAGTGAATTCTAAGAAAAAGCGTTTTACTCATATCGAAAACAACAATCATATCTTCGGACTATCAGGATAATCAAAACAACAAAACTTGGTGTATACAGTAGGTTGCATTTAATGTGACACCACTCAAAACATACACATGTCGCATCCGGGTGAATATAAGTAGGTTTATAAGCAGGAACCGAGTATATATATATATATATAAGAGGAAGAAACACTGATAAAACTACTCAGTCACAAGGCATGCCTTGAACCCAAGTCATTTATCATTTAACACCAGTAAGGCATTACAGAAGGGCTTCCATTTATATATATATATATATCAAAGCCCTTCGACAGTCAACAAAAGCGATCTCTCTGACAAACATCAGTGTGTGATGAAGCATAATAGCATATGGACGGACGGACTGACACAAACCCACGAATTCATTTATTTTTGGTGCTACTGAAAAGACATCCATTCAACATCAACTAGTACAGCCTTACTCGGATAAATTTGGTTAAAAAGTCTGAAGTCAACTAAAACGAACATTTGTTTTAAAAATCTTTTCCTAACCTAAACATACTAATCTGAAGGCTTTACATCATATGCGAACCCTTGAAAATAGTTTCTTAACATGGTTATCATGTTGAAGAAAAACACGCAATATTTTTTCGTTTGTTTGATAAGACATGCTAGGCTTGGATTGCAAGAGGGGAGTCAGTTCACAAAATAAATATTATTTGGTATAAGTTTTCTTGAGGCAAACTTGAACTAAGCAAGGAAGATGAAGTGAGAAAGATAATACGATATACTTCACATTCCACAATTCAATTACGCGACGGCCTCCACCCACAGGCTAAATGAAACATGTGAGTATGTTGGATATTGATATTGAAGTTGTTTAAAGTTTTATGCACTTGACGAAATCCGGTGAAATAAAATGATATCATGTTTTCCTACTCAATTTCCTACTCCTGTTTTTGCTAAAAATAATTATTATTATACTAGGTTAGCAGATTTTAGAATTTTGTAATATGGAAACAATCTGCGCGTAAGGATAGTTTTGTCATTGAGGACAACATTTTTAAAATGAATTAGCATTATCTTCGACTGATAATCCGGACGCATTAACTTCCCCTTTAGCCTTAAAACTCATTACATCACGCAGATAGAAGTATGTCAATATCCAGCTCACGCAAGTAAAGAAACCGTAACAATTACCAGACATTCCACAGATTATATTGAAATCAGAGAATATTTGGAACCCTAGAGAAGTCATGCAACCTGTTATTAGAGAACAGATTCTCTATACAGTAATTTTTATTGTTCCTTAAAGCCAGAGCGTATCCGTCATCTACTCAGATAAATATATAGCACAGTTAAAGATAATAACAGCTTATCTAATTATTGTCTGTTCGATTTGAATCTTCTCCATCATTTACCTTGTTCAATAAGCTCTGTCGTTTTAGAAGTACCCAGGCAACAGTTCAGACGCAGTTGAAAAATTATAATTCCATACTAACAGTTTATTTTGATTTGTAACATACATCACTGAAGAACAACAGAAGTTATACAAATTTCATACTCTGAGATAAATACATTACACAAATATTTAGGTTGCAGTACAGATAATGAAGGTAGGGTTGAGGAAGTTCAACTTCCTAGTATTGTGAGTTGCTTTCCTGTCGACGACAGTTACCTTTTTAACTATCATACAATGGAGATATAGGAATCAAGTTCAGCATTTGGAAACACCATTCATATCATTGAGTTTGTGTTATGTGAATATTTACCCCAAACCCTCATAAAAACTGCTAAGAAAATGAGCTCAAGTAGACTAAGAAGTGTTGTACGTTAATAATACTCAAATATGTTACTGAGAGCAAAATGACGAATGGATTCTAGTTCCATTAAAATACAGTATTTATATAAATGAGACTTAATTCTTACTCCGAGCAGAATTTAAGTACTTCATGAATAACAATTAGAACAATCTTCATAAAATTAATTGTCGGATAGATTCCGATCAAAATTTTTGAAGTCAATAAAGCCATTTGCAAATATTTAAAGAATCAGCCAAACATAGTCCATATTAAGTGCACATAAATGTTTAAATATCGGAAAAAAGAGAATGTCTTGAAAATTTGGTTTCGTACTGAAGAGGACACTTTTTACTATCTGAAGCAGACTGTTTTCAGCTGACATAATAAAAAGTTCACAATCAACAAAATGTACACTGTAAAAAAATATTAGGTTCTAAACATAAGAATTAAAATGCCACCGAACCATCCTACCTAAGTTAATTTGAAATCTATTGACATACCTAACAAATCCCACAGAGAAGAAAAATAAACCGATAACAATTATGCCACATTACCCATTAGCCAAAAAGTACATGAGGATTCAGGTTAGTGAAAGGTTCAAAAAATTTAGGAATTACACCACTTTTCCAAAAACTAAACTAAAATTAATTCTGCATCATCTATTTAGTGGGAAATCATAGTTATATATATACATAACTGATTCGGCCAAATAGTTTTGAACTTACGAGCATTTATTACACTTAAAGCATCCTCGGTGAAATGAAAAGTTGAGTGCAGTAACAACTTCTCCAGTGAGTTCTTCTGAGCAAATTTTACACTTCGCAACAAAATAACGTTGATAGTCATCTTGACAGTAAAATCCTCCGTCTTTCATGAAAAATCCACCATGTTCGAGGCTTTTATTACATTCTAGAGAATGTTTTATTAGTTTTAAGGTCCTTACTTGTGCATTTAAAGCAGTCCTTATGAAAATATTTATCGGCCACTCGTAGTACGTCGCCACGGCATTTGCGACGACAATTCTCACAATAAATTTTCCCTTTAATATAGCAGAAACCAGTTACCCCTAAGTTAAAAATCTTACCCATTTCCAAACATTATCTAATTATATTAAACCACATGAGTGATTTCAAATAAAACTTTCAAGAAGACCTCAAAAATTTTACATGTAATTAGCACAGTAAAACATGTCCAAAAAACTGTGAATCTACAAAGCGCTTTATCAATTTTTATAGATAAGCAAGTCAAAAATTTACGAAAATTTGACAATTTTAAGTGAATTAATCTTTACTGTTGTGAACGATTTCTATTTCTGCCACATAAAGAATGCCAAGTTTGAATACGAAGTGCTTTACATTCTCTAACTGGAAAATACCTATTTTTGAGTTATCTGCTTGTGAAACCTGATCTCTATAGCTTGTTAATCTAATTCGACCATTGCCTTCACATTAAGTTTGTGCATCGTAGGTCCAGCTGTCTCGAACTATTGACAAAGCTTCAGGTGCTACTTCTATAGCAGCATCTTCCTCACTCCATCAGATGAACAAGATCTCTTAGGCTGATACGTGATCGCTGTGAAGCTGAATAACCTGAAATTTCTGGGTAAAGTCAGTAACCCTTTTCTTTCGCTTTATCAGTCCTCTTATTGTCCTATCGGGCAGACACTCTCCGACTATTTTTTCTATTCTTATGGGATCATAATAATAACAGGACGGCCGAACCTAGCCTTAACAATAGCCTTAAGACAACACATTCTATAGTGACTAGGCTTCGGCTATAAGGGGAAATAATCTGACGGTGTTAATGCCGTCTAAGATTCAGATTCCTTAACCTCGGGTAAATATCCTCTTCTCTGATAGTACGCCTACTTCGTCATTGCCCGGTATTGAAACTGCACAGGTAAAACCAACTGGACACCGCACTGCATCTGTCTGTGTAGGAAGTCAAGGTGTTACATACGTTGAAACTAAGAAGGAACACTCAACACTTCATAAGACCTCGAAAGCGTTTATGGGAAAGGTGATGACTGCCAGGCCTGTAGTCTTGTTTTCTCCAAAATGACTCAGATTTTGAGTCCAGGTTTTGCAAGCGACGCATGAACTATCATTGGTACAAGGGAGTACCTAAACCATTCTATGAGTTTATGAGAAATAGTCCATGCCCATGGTTCTGGTACATACGCTTACTTTGTCACCCTAGCACAGCCTCATACAATAATCCACCCGAAAACGAATACAGCGCATCACCAAAATTAGTCAGAAATGGCAAACAAGATACCCAAGACCGACTGACCAGGAGTGTCAATCCTACTGTTCCGACTATTCTGTCTATTAATTCCTTTATATTATTATTGATGTATATGTCAAGTCCAAACTTCATTGGCCACCTGTTTTTGCATTTTCTTCCATTTTCCCCTTAAAGTATACATAATTCACACTTATTATATATATTTTTAATGCCATTATTGTTATTGTCACAATCCTTTTCGACTACACCGGACGACTAGAGGCTGAAATGATCAACTGCATTCCCAGTGCCAACATGGTCTTAAAACACCACATAATCTGAACCATATGTAATCAATCCTAGTACCACTCCTTTGGCAGTCAACTAAAGCTACAACAGTCTAGTGGTGGACGAACCATTCAGAAGTCTACCTAAGGTCAGGAACCTTAACCTTACAACTAAGGAGAGAGCACAAAGAATTCGGTTTAGTTCATACTAGTTCGTAAACACGATAGTAGATTGATATGTTGATTTTATAGAATTCCGTAGCACTGACGTCCCAGCCTTCATTAGATCAGTAGCACTCAAGACTTCTGCTTTTAGAGGGATGGATATTGACTGGCAGTACTGTGGCTTATTGTACTTTTTCTGGCAGGTGGTGTTGGTTTGTCAGTCCTTCAAAGTGATGGGCAGATGATTCTTATACCAATTCTTGATGGTAATTAAGCTCCTTTCACTATCAGTCATTGGTTACCTTTGTGTTGATCTGCTCCCTGATGGCCGCCTCATTGTCTCATACAGTGATTTGAGGTCGCTGTCGCCTGCAACCTGTTGTACTCCCGTTGCCATTGCGTTGAGGAACTGACACTTTTCTTCAACAACGCCCTTCCTCACTTCTTTAGCAAGCACGTGATGGGTGGTAGTCAGCTTCTGCTTCCACTAGCTATATTTGAATTGGTTCATCTCCTGTTTCAACCACTGTATCCCCTCTGTAAGCTTTCCAGTGTCTATAGAAAGCTACTAGGTGTCTTCCCTGTTATCCCTTCCAAATGAAGTTGCACTCGTTTCTTCCAACATAAATTTCAATCAGTTCGGATATTCTTCCACATATATTTGCTTTTCTCTGAGTGGTAGCAGTGAATGTGCCCTTCGTGGTTTTTTCCTTCACTATCTGAGTGCTGAACTTGAATCACGGGCTTCCAACTAGGCCTAGGAAATTCGTTACACTAGATAATCGTCTGAGCCTACATGTGCTCCTCTGCTCAACTTTGTATCAACCAGACAGTGTCTCCACCTTCTTGGGACCGGGATGAAGTCTTTTCGGTTTTAGTGTGTCCATCAAACATGTCGATTTGTGAATATCCCTTTGCGTGTACACGCTTCTTCTAATCACCAAATAATTTAATACATGGAAGTCCGGGAACAGTGCTGCTATCATATATTTCACCAAGAGACTGCCGACATATAATGAAATATCTTCCAGTAATGTCTGCACAATTCAGCATTAGTTTCGCCCAGAATGATTTTGATGCCACTATTTGGGATTTCGTCCATTGCTGTTTGCAGCTGCTCATAGAAATCCTCCTTCTGATCTGATTGTCAACGTTCCTGGACCTAGGAACTTTCGAAATAAACGCCACTTTTGAACGTGTTTTCGCTGATATTCATTTGTTGCTTCCCCAAGCTTCGTCAGGCCTACTCTAGTTCCGATGACTCAGTCATGGTGCTCATCCCTTATGCTTGATGCATATATAGGTATAGGTTATTATACTCTTCACAGTGTAAACTAAGATTGCTAGCATGGTTAGGGATGCCTCATTTATATACAAACTTCATTTTTAGTCACTAAGGTGTTTGGTGAAATACTGAATGAGATACTTGATTCATTCAGGGTCATCTCACATGGACATAAATGCAAACTTCTCGTGGGCTGTGCTTATCGGGCACCATGCTCAACCCAAGAAAATGATGCATTATTAGCTAAATCGTTTGCACACGCCTCCTCATTCAGTGCAAACTACAAAATAATTGCACGGGACCTCAATTTTCCAGACAAAAATTGGTTAAGTAATCCCGGCTACCATGACTTCAACAAATTGCCTGCTGCCGTTGATTGTTACAGTTGGAAACAACACATCCAAACCCATACTCGAGGAGCAAGCATGCTGAATCTTGTGTTCTGTCATGACATAAACCCACTCTCCACTTGTGTTGGTAACAGATTTTCCAGTAATGACCATAGAATAGTACTCTGCTCTCTGGTTTTCTCATCACTAAATACAGTGAACAAACAAGATTCATGTGACATAATATACCGCAGTTACAAGCATACAGCCTGGGGATTAGTTTCAGAACTCATTCGACTCTGTCGATGGGATAAATATTTTACCACTGACTCACTGAGGTCTGCAGCGTCCCTACTTTATAATAATAATAATAATGTATTTCATATAAATTTACAAATTTACATGAAAATGCATGCCATTTTTACAGGCACGATCAAGTATGATATAATATCAAATCGTAGATTGTCTACAAGTTAATCGTATTTCAACTGTTAAATATTCGATACATATAATACACTCATTTTCTGAATTAGGCCGTATAGTTATTGAATTGTACAGTTGTCCTCCAGGTTGAGCGGGAAAATCGACTTCGTTCCGTTTTCATCCCGTGGTTGTAGGCATACGATAACCAACCGATATTGAGGTAAGTACACCTTTTACAAGGGATTGGAATCTGTTTTAGAAAAATTAAAGTGCTGAGGTGAATCATTAAATTGTAATGAAATAGGTAAGTGCAAGTATCATTAATAAATGCATTAATAAAGGAAACACCCTAGGGTAACAACATTCATTTGCAATGTATAATGCTACAGATATATCACAAACTATCATGATATCCACTTTTGGTTTTAATACAATTATCCTCAAGCCAGTTGTTTTTATTTTATACCTTTTTGTGCATTTAGTGCACTACCGTACCCTTCAGAGAGTAGGAGTATAATAAGTAATGAAGAGCTATAAGATGTTAAGTTTAATGGAGTAAAATGAGGATCAAGTAAAGACGTTGTCAGAAAATAAATGAGATAAGACATTGTGGAGTGGTATGAAAAGATCTGACGATAGACAGCAAGTTAATTTATAAGATGCCCCATAAATCTGAGCAGATCCCACATGGTCGCATCTCAGCAATAGGCTGGGTGAATGGTATATATTTAAAGGTAGAAGCATGATCTGTCAAGGCGTTCATTGTTATCTTTTTCAAGATAAAGATTTAAGCCCTCATAAAAACCAGAAATATCTCGAGCCTTCAAATTTTTTAATGCTGTTCCTGCAGAATGGGGCGATTCACCTTAGTGTCCACCACCATATCTACTGATCAGCTAACTCCACCCTCCCACCTTTTTTGATGTTAGGCTCTGAGACTATGATTATTATGGTTACCGCATATATATTGCTTGGTACCAGACATGTTCGTAACCCATATTCCATCTCCCTAGCTTTCTTAATGAGTGCTTCCAATAGGTCCCCGCGTACATCTTTATGAACATATTATATATGTATGCATGCGTCCTAATGAACAGATTACTTTATAAGAAGACAAAAACCTTGAAGAATAACAAGAATAGGTTTTGTGAATAGTGGAACAAGATTCAGCAGAACAATATAGTTAGGGTTCAATATAGGTAGTATGAACTGAAGGTAAGGTCGGTTGGCAGGACCAAGTGTACTAAATTATCATGAAAGTTTTATATATAGTAAACATTTGACATTGCAAAGTAACCTGTCTACATATATTATAAAAAGATATTAGCAGAACCAACAAAATTTCAGTATTTGGTTAACAATACTACAGAAAG